CGCAGGCTGCTCGGAGCTCGCCTGCTGCTGCTCCTCCATCCCCGCGCGGCTCGCACCGGAGAGCGGGAGAAGCGGAGAAAAGGGAAAGCGGGAGGAAAAAAGAACAAGGGGGGAAAACGCTCTGAGCGCACGCAGAGCCGTGTTTCGCTACTGTCTGGATTACTGTTTTTATTATTTGGGGGACAGGGGGGAGTTGTGTCCTTAATCCGAGGCTCCCTGCCCTCCCCACCCCCAGATGCTGTGAAAGAAGAGCTGATTTCGTCTCCACCATACGGTACACTTTGTCTAGAGAGCATTGTTCGGACAAGCAACTCCCGATCACTGATGACTACAAAATACGATTTATGTTTCCATCAGAGACAGACAAAATATCCTGATGGCTTGAAAGTCGGGCAAGAAAACCTTACTTAATCAATCCCTTTCCAATATACACACGCACATACACACACACACACAGAGCCCGTATAGAAGATAACGCCCGCACTGACTGTACATGACATAAATATCGGCAGCACGAAAATTAACAACACTCATTTCGATATTTTTTACTCTCTTCAAAGCACTACAATAATATAGTTTGTGCTTTTCTAGTTTGATGTCATCATCAGTAACATAATTTATATTTAAAAATAAAAGAGAGAGCTTAAAGAGCATGCATTTTTTTAGATGCAACATGAACAGATATAGTAAAGAGAGCTTGTAACATCACAATCACAACAACAACAGCAAAAGCAACCTCTGAGCCGGGGGGTTCATCCGTATCTGAACTGCTTTTTATTATCATTTGCGAAATTAGAATAAGAGTAAATAATAAGTAAGAGGCATCATCATAACAGAAAGAAGTCAGAACACCTTGGGTTTGGGTTTTTTTTCCCCTCTCAAATAAAAAGGCAGATTTCCCGATGATCACTGAAATTATAACGACAACGATTGATCGGAGGGCTTGCAAAGGAAAAGGAAAAAAAAAATCATCATCATTGGTCCTAAAAACGCAACCGTTCCCCTTTGCTCACTTGGCACAATAGAAATTGACTGTCTCTCAAAGAGCCATGCGCCTAGTGCTATTTATAGCCAGGGGCTGTGTTGGAAGATACCATTGAGCCTCTGCCGGGCAGACAGACAGGGGGGTGGTTGGATGGGAGGAGGGGGTTTAGCCAGAGTAGAGGCAAAAGCAATCCCCCACCCCTAGCCTCCCTTCCCCGTACACACACACATCCACACACTCACACCCCACCCCCTAGTCTGGCTGGGAATTTGAACCGATCCAGCCTGTTTAAACGGAAAGGACACAGATCTTCAATGTAAAAAAAAAATCAGATCAGACCCAGAGAGAGAGAGAGAGAGAGAGAGAGAGAGAGAGAGAGAGAGACAGAGAGGGAGGAGTGTGTGTGTGAGTGTGTGTGTGTGTGTGTGTGTGTGAAAGAGGGAGAGGGAGCGAGAGAGCGAGAGAGAGGGAGAGAGAGAGGGAGAGAGAGGGAGGGAGAGAGAAAAGAAGAGGGGGAAAAAAAGGAAAGAAGATTTTCTCTATGTATATAAAGATGGCCACGTTAGCAAACGGACAACCAGACAATACCAGCCTGAGTAGCAATCACAGCAACCCCAGCACCAACGGGCATATGAACGGATTAAACCATAGTCCCGGAAACCCATCCACCATCCCAATGAAGGACCACGATGCCATTAAGCTCTTTATTGGGCAGATCCCCCGTAACCTGGACGAGAAAGACCTCAAACCGCTCTTCGAGGAGTTCGGGAAGATCTATGAACTGACGGTGCTGAAGGACAGGTTCACTGGCATGCACAAAGGTGAGTTACCTCCTGAACTTTCCCGGGAGAGATCGGGAGAGAAAGGCAGGCTCCCTCTCTCTCCCCGTCTCTCTCTTTCTCTCTCTCTCTTTCCTTTCGATTTCATTTCATTTTATTTCATTTTTGGTTGGCCCGGGGGCGGAGGCGGCAGGCTGGGGGGGCAAGGAAAGAAATAATAGACCCATCCTGGGAAGAGAAGAGCGAGAGTCAGCGCAGGGAGTCTGCTCCGTTCGGCTCGTTTGTTAGTATTTTTTATTTCTTTCCCCGCTTTTTTGGGGGTGAGAGGCAGCTCCCGGGGAGCGCCGGGCGAGCGGCGGCGCGGGCGCGGGGCCGGCGGCAGCTGTCCGCGGTGCTGAAGCCGGAGCGGGTGCTCTGTATTTACCTTCGGGAGCCGCTCTCCGTCAGCCCAGGGGTGTGTGTGTCCGTCTGTCTGTCCCTGGGTTTGCTGGCAACCCCCGATTTTACAACTGTTCCGTATCTGGCACCGGCGGCTTTTTCTTTTCTTTCTTTCTTCTTTTCTTTTTTTTTCTTCTTTTGTTTTTCTTTTTTTTTCCCCTCAATTTTTTGGTAGTTTTTTTATTTTTACTGCTGTCACACTTATTATTTGTAGTCCTCTACAAAGCAGGAAGTGGAGGAGAGTGAGTTGCTCCGGGGGAGACTGTTTCAGTTTGGTTCTATTCAACACGGGAACAGGGACATAAACAACAATAAAGAAGCCCATCTCAAGCGGGGCAGGGGTGTGTGCACAAAATCCCGGCATGTGTTCTCGTGTGGGAGAAGGCAAGACAGAAAGGACAGGTGGCAGCTTAGTTCCAGAGGGAAGAAGTCTCTGACCAGGCATATTCCAAGCACTACTTTAATGTGCCCGAAGTCCATGCCGGGAACTTTTTAGGTTTTCTCTAAAGGTAGTGGAGATGTACTCCTCACACGATGCCTCACTTGCTCCATCTCTGCCCGCTCATTTCCCTGCTCAGCTTAGGCTCTCCGGAGGTGCCTGTCAGATTAGATGGTGCTCCGTTTTGGGGGTGGGGGAGGGTGTGTGTAGTGGGGGAGAGATGCTCAGATCCTCGGTAGGAAAGTAGGACTCGGAGGGAGGAAGTTGAAGGTAATTTGCATGGCAGTCCCTCTTAGAAATAGGAGAAAGGCAGAAGTGATATAAGCCACCTTATTAACTCAGATTCTGTATGTATGTGTATGTGTGTTTATATTTTATTTATTTTTTAAAAGGAAAAGGGAAAAGAAAAAGACTGGGTCAAAAGTGATTGGGGTGTGACTCCAGATTTAGTGCAGGAGGAGAAAGCGATTTGCACGGGGCCACAGGGAGAGTGGAAGTTGTACCTTTTACAGGACAGCTTCAGTACCAGTGTCTAGTCCAGCTTGGCAGACTCCTGGCAGTGACAGTCACCAGTAATGGCATTACTGGCTTCCCAGCTTTCCAGATGCCTTGGCGAGTTGTAAATCTTGAACTTAACGGCATGTTCAGCAAGCATCTCTTTCCCCTTCCCACTCACTCCCTTCCTTGCTTCCACTCTCAGGAAACGCAAATGAAAATATACCCTGACACCGCAAAGTACCAGCTTTACACAGGCTGGAGAAAATGCCCAGGGCTCGGGGACTAGGGACTCAGTCTAAGTTACAGGATATTTCTCCCATCCTTACTTGCCGGTCGCTTCAAACACCCTACTCATTTTTAAAATGATCAGTGTAGCTCTTTCGAACCTTGCTTTCTTTTCAGACTGTCTTCCTAGAAGCCACATCAAGGTCCGATTGGCATTATTCAAACATGACACCCCTACTACTATAATAATTATTAATAATAGCAATAAAAATAATAGTAAGAAGTGCAGGGAAGGAAAGGTCCTGAGAGATTTCATCTCATAGTGAGAGTAGACTGAGCTTGTGTGTGTGTGCATGTGTTTGCAAAAATTATCTAAGGTTTCTATAAAATGAAAATAACAGCAGTAAAAGCTACACTGAAGAGAATCACTCAACATAGTGTAGAGGAAATCTTTATGCTAACACTTCAATAAAATATTTATTTTTGTTCATGGGAGATTACTGTGATTTGTTGATGAGATTTTATTCTTTTGCTATGTTTTATCTTAAACCTGAAATTAATCATTCTGTGCGCCAACTTCAATTTCTATTTTATAGATTTGAGTTCTCCCTCTTTCAGTTCAGTTTTGCTTTTACTGTATGCCTGTATTCACAGAGACAAACTCAGGAAGGGGGAGAGAGAGAGAGAGAGAGAGAGAGAGAGAGAAGGAGAGAGAGAGAGAGAGAGAGGGAACATTTATCTTGCTTGGATGTGTTTAACACATATCCCTGAATTAAGCAAGATACTAACTTCATTTCCCTTCATTTCATTTCTATTCTAAAGCTGCAACCTAGGAAAAAAGCCAGGTGGGGAATCTTGTCACCTCATCAAACCACACTGCATGAGTTCATCTCAAAACAAACAGTCATTTTTAACATGCTATAAGTTTTGGACTTTGGAAAGAAAATTTATGATGATGATTGTTATTTTGCGGGCTATGGTTTGAGTGAAGCTTCAATAGACACCGAGTTGCCAGCATTTCAGAGATCGGTTTTATTTAGTACATCCGAGAAGAGTTTGAACTCCTTTCTAGCGATGCCGCTGATTTATTAGCTAATCCTGATAAAAATGTGCCTCTGGCTACCTGGAAAAAAATTACTTTCTTGCCAGTAGTGATTAATTACTATTAAGTCAAAAAGCGTGATGGGGCTTTGAAGGATGAGGGTTGTGTTTCGCTTTTTTTATTATTATTTTATTAATTTTATTTCATTTCTAATCTATTTTTTCTCTCTTCCCTTCTCTAAATGCAGTCATGTGAAGCATTGTATTCACTCAGATGTCCTTATTTTGGCTTTGCTTTGCAGGCGTAGGTGAAGAATTGCATAAAGATAGTCCAACTTGGCTCACAGGGGTAGGTTGGCAATACAAAACCCCAAGATGCTTTCCATAAGAGATGCATAATGCTTATACATTAATTGATCCATCACTCTCAGTTGATTTCATTCCTAATTCAGGGGATGAGGCTGTGGCAGTGGTACACCCTGAAGGGTTAATAGTAGGCTGTAGTTTATTTAAGTGTGCGGAGAGCAAACCTTGGGTGTAGAGGGGGAGAAGGTGGGACTGTTCTGGGAGGAGGGAAGAGAGAGGAATTAGCTCAAAGTAAAAAAACAACAACCGGAGTAATTTCAGGTGTAAATCCATTGAAACGAGATCAAAGGATGTGTATTCTTGAAAATATTATGAAGATATCCTGTTGCGGTGCCCCTGTATGGCAGGAGGAAATTGAAAATTAAGAACCTAAAGTACATTACTATCCCCTCCTCCAAGAAAAACTATCACAAAAGGAGAGTGAAGTCCCAGGTTCTCTCACCAGCAGCTCTGGCTGATACCAGTACAGACACCAGGAAAGAGGCAGGGAATTATAATTCTCTTGCAGATACACAAAGAGAGGAAGGGTACGGGGGAAGCAGCATGTGGGGGAAGGCGGGAAAGGCTTGCCAGATCCCCGAGAAAATAAGCTTGAGCGTAGCTGCTGCATATTTCCCCCATCCTTGCTTCTCTCCACACGGGGCAGGAACAGGCTCCTGCTCTGGTACTTTGCTGAAGGGTTGGGAAGAGGCTGTGTGCTGAGATCTACGGGTAGAAATCTACCGGGGCTGAGCTGACCCACCCACACTCTCACACATACATGCACACACATGCACTGAGTTAACTAATCACACTTTAACAATTTAGCAAGACATTCATTCATAACTTCCCCCCATCTTATCTAGCTGTGGAGTGTGCTTAAAGGCTGAGTTACTGGGAGATATAAAGGTTAGTGCTCTCAGGACAGCCATATTATAATGCATTATCTTTGAAGTCATTTAAGGCCAATTTAAGTGGTATTTAGTATAATATTTATGAATTAATGTTATCTAAATATAGGACTGTCCCCATAGGTTTAAACAGTCTTTTCTACTGAAGCTTCCTTGTACCCAAGGCCTGGGAAATGTTTTAATTTAAAACACACAGGTCTCCATAATATTCTATTTAGAAAGTCGGAAGAAATCAGCATTCCACACTTAACTGAGATTTACTGAAACACATGCGGGTGAATGCACTTAAAGTGCTGAGATAGTGTGTACTGGAAAAGCAGGAGTCTTGCATAGACTTGAAACCAACAGCACTTCTTCAACCCTTATTTAGGGGTGAGATGAGCACAAATCCCCCAAAACTTTCTTGAAATCCACTGCTGCAGTCCCGTGGTTGGGGTGTTTTTCCTACCTGACCCGAACCTCACTCTGTAAGCATTCAATGCAGATAGAAAAATGCAGTATGAAGAGAATAGTTTAGTTCTTTTACAGCTTTACCATCTTTAAAGTATAAATAATTTTCAAATTTAAGACACCTCTGGAGTAGAAAAACAAGGCTTCAGTGCATTATATTCTATTCTATTTGATTACAAATATAGATGATAGAAAAATTAAAACCTTGTTAAGTTTAAGGATGTTTATGAAGGTTTTGGATATGTCAGAAATTCAAACACGCAATGAAAATGAGCATTCAGTTAAGATGATGTGTATGTTTATATGCAGAAATGTACAGATTTGTGTGTGTATACATACAGAAAAAAAGATGTGTACACATTTGTGTGCACAGCCTTTGGGAAATGGAAATTTAGTTGAAAAGAAGCGCAGCGCAATACAGGTGCTGAATAAACTCCTCCATAATTGAAACATAAGACTTGCCTGTCTGAAAGCAACACATACAGCATTTACTATGGTAGTAAACCAAACAAGTTTTAGGGAGGTAAAGCACAAAGAAACTGGAACAAAACAGAGAAGACTTCAAGTCTTAGGTCTAAAGAACAACCTCTTAAAGCAATCACAATGCAATTTGATAGTTTGATGGAAGAGAGGAAAAAAGCAACACCCTGTTCATTAAAATCTCCTGTATATATGAGCATCTATGTGTTTTGATA